CTACTGAGATGGTATCCACAAATTACCTAAAAGATGGGGAAAATGTGTAGCTAGTGATGGACATTACTTTGAATAAAGCACGTTTGATGTTTCTCTTGAAATTATCGGGTTTTCTTTGATTATAAAATCTACATTATTAACTGTACACCTAGTATTAAGTACACCGTATTTTTCGGACCATAAGACGCACTTTTTTCCCCCCAGAAGTGGTGGGGAAAAGTCCCTGCGTCTTATGGTCCAAATATAGCCTACACATATACTTTAAAAAAAAAAAGGTTTTTTACTTGCCCGGCTCTGTGTGGTCTCTGTGTGCTTGCCCGGCTCTAAAATGGTTCTAAATGCTGCTGTTTACTTTACAGGGTTGATTACATGTGTTTATGACTGTGATGTTGGGTTTTAATGCACATAAAATATTTTAGGACACTATTTGTTTCAGAATCTTTTTTTCTTCATTTCCCTTCTCTAAAAACTGGTGCGTCTTATGGTTCGGAGCATCTTATGGTCCGAAAAATACGGTATATAGCACTTGGCTAGATCCTGGGGATGGAGAGGTACTTTGCTCCAATGAGGGGCTATTGGCAACAAAAAGGAGGAAAGCAATTATCACTGTATGACAATAGCCACAGTCAATTTTTGCTTTTAGCCTTGTTCTAGCTAGTTTACAATGTTATAACTAGTTTACAGTTTTAATGCTCATTAGAGGTTACTTTTATTGTTGTAAAACAGTTGTTTGTAATTTTTCTTAATAGTCAGTGTTTCATTTACTTTGAAGGTAAGGTAATTAGGTATATGGTGGAAAGATGTTTATCTGTTACTCTATAAATTGACAATGACATTTCAAAATAATGAACTACTGTACTTAGTTAGGAATTTGTAATAATAGGTGTGTTGCCTTTAAGATTATGTGTATCCTAGAAATGAGGCATTGATTGACAATAATTTACTAAATACATTCTTCAGACATTTAAATCTTGTGTCTCATTAGTACTAGATTTACAGATTATGCTGTATAATAGGAAAGTACAATATCTGCATACATATTCCCAGTTCATTCTTTTATCTTATTTTGTGTTCCTCATAATTCACTGGTAAAGAAATTGACTTTAATTCCTTTAATACTTTGCATAAAATTGAATATGAGGGTTACAGGAAAAATCCACGGCTCCATATAATTGAAAGTTTTATTGAAATTTATCTGCAAGAGGTAGGGATTTCTCTGTTTTTAGACTGCCTTCTTGAAAATTACTATTCGGGTCATAAGTAGAGAGTTTCTAAGAAAAGCTTTTCTAAGTTTAAAATATATTTTATTGATTTTACACAGAGAGGAATTGAGAGGGACAGAGAGTTAGAAATGTCGATGAGAGAGAAACATCGACCAGCTGCCTCTTGCACACCCCCCACTGGGGATGTGCCCGCAACCAAGGTACATGCCCTTGACCGGAATCGAACCTGGGACCCTTCAGTCCGCAGGCCAACGCTCTATCCACTGAGCCAAACCAGTCCTGGCTCTAAGTTTAAAGACTTCTTTTGGACAGACTATGCACAGATCATAATGATTTCCTATCTGCTGAGTGTATGTGACAAAAAACACTGCTCCCTGTCATTGTGAATTTACCTTCACTTTCTTCTTAGTATGCTTTTATTGATTTTTAGAGAGGAAGGGGATGCGTTAGAGAGAGAAATATCAATGATAGAGAAACATCATCAATCGCCTGCCTCCTGCAGGCCCCCTTCTGGGGATCAAGCCCACAACCTGAGCATGTGCCCTGACAGATAATCCAATCCTGATCTACAGGTTCCGGGGTTGATATCCAACCACTGAGCAACATAGGTTGGGACTGCCTTTACTTTTTAAACATTTCAAATAAGACACCTTAAGCTTCCAGTTAAAATTAAATTCATGAATGATTCTGTTAGCAGAATTACTGAAATATTATTTTTAAATATTATTTCATAGAAATTCTTCCAATTATTCATTTATCCAATCATTTGACATTTCATTTTATTTTTTAAAAATATGTTTTATTATCTTTTTTACAGAGAAGAAGCGAGAGGGAAAGAGAGTTAGAAACATCGATCAGCTGCCTCCTGCACACCCCCTACTGAGGATGTGCCTGCAACCAAGGTACATACCCTTGACTGGAACTGAACCTGGGACCTTTCAGTCTGCAGGGCGACGCTCTATCCACTGAGCCAAACCAGTTTCGGCCACTTGACATTTTATTTATTTATTTATTTATTTATTTATTTATTTATTGTTTAAAGTATTACATATAGTAGTACATATATCTCCTCCTTTTTCCCCCCCATTGACCAACCCCCAGCCTCTCCTACCCACTGTCCCAAGTCCTCACAACCTTGCTCTTTTAACAAACGCAGGCTTTTGAAAGACAGACAAGTAAATAAAATAAAATATACAAGATTATATTAAAACTAGAGGCCTGGTGCATGAAATTCATGCACAGGAGGTGTGTGTGTGTGTCCCTCAGCCCAGCCTGCACCCTCTCCAATCTGGGACCCCTCAAGGGATGTCTGACTGCCCATTTAGGCCCAATCCTGATGGGCAGTTGGACATCCCTCTCACAATCCAGGGCTGCTGGCTCCCAACTGCTTACCTGCCTGCCTGCCTTCCTGATTGCCCCTAACCGCTTCTGCCTGCCAGCTTGATCAACACTTACCCACTCCCATGCAAGCCTGATTGATATCTAACTGCTCCCCTGCCAGCCTGTTTGCCCCAACTTCCCTCCTCTGCCAGCCTAGTCACCCCTAACTGTCCTTCCCTGCAAGGTTGATTACCCCCAACTGCCCTCCCCTGCTTGCCTGATCGCACACAACTGTCCTCCCTTGCAGGCCTGGTCCCTCCCAATTGCCCTTCCCTGCTGGCCATCTTGTGGTGGCCATCTTGTGTCCACATGGGGGCAGGATCTTTGACCACATGAGGGTAACCATCTTGTGTTTTGGAGTGATAGTCAATCTGCATATTACTCTTTTATTAGATAGAATAGAGGCCTGGTGCATGGGTGGGGGCCAGCTGGTTTGCCCTGAAGGGTGTCCCGGATCAAGGTGGGGGGGTTCCCTTGGGGCATGGGACAGTCTGGGCTAGGGGCCTGTGGTGGTTTGCAGGCCGGACACAACCTCTGGCGACCCAAGCGGAGGCCCTGGTATCTGGAATTTATTTATCTTTTACAATTGAAACTTTATAGCCTGGAGTGGAGCCAACCCTCCTGCTTGCTTGGTGGCGGCAGCCATTTCTGTTGGAATTTATGTGTCTTCTATAATGGAAATTTTGTAGCCTGGAGTAGAGGCCTAGGTTGGCCAGGACTACAGAAGCTTGGCTTCCTTTATCGCCTGGGGCAACTCTAGCATCCTGATCTTCCAGCTCTGAGGCTGCCGCCATTTCTGTTGGAATTTATTTACCTTCTATAATAGAAACTTTGTACCTGTGAGTGGAGGCCTGGGCCTGCCAGGGTGTGTGGAAGGCTTGGCTTCCTCCATTGTCAGGGAAACCCAAGTCTCCCTCCTGCTCTCTTTGGCTGTAGCCATCTTAGTTGGGGTTAATTTGCATATTCACTCTGACTGGCTGGTGGTGTGGCTTGTCAGTGTAGTGGAGTATGGTTAATTTGCATATTACTCTTTTATTAGATAGAGCTTTCTACATGTTCAGTTTGCAATAAAGGTTATTCTATTGAAAACATTCACTATACCTAGAAACTTTCATCATTGCTCAGAAATAAAACTCTTCCTTATTCTATAGAAATATTTTTGTAATTTAATTAACAAACAAAATTAAAGATGATTTTATTAATAGGTGTGAACTTAGCATCTCAAACTAACAAATATTAATATTTGTTTCCTATTTTGTCTTAAAGCTATTTTTTAAGTCTAGAAATTTCTTAACTGATAAAGCACTAATGATTACTTAAGATTATTATAGATTCCACCAGCTGTACGACCTTGGATAAATTAACCTTTTGACCCTTCAGTTTTTTCATATGAAAAATGGGGAAAATAGTACCTATCTGTGCTAGATTATCTTCCATTGCCCCTCAGTATCCATGCTCTACCTTGCTTTTTGCCCAAGAAGGTTCTAGATGGGTTAGATGAATAGGAGGTACTAGCAGTTTACTCCCTACCAGGTCACCAAGGACTGGTTATATCCCTCTATCAGAAGCAGTCCTCTCTATACACCATCCTAGACTTTAACCATAGGGATGGTAATGTCTCCCTTAAGCCCTAGATTCTGTATTATCCATTGTTGACTTCCATTAACCCTGTCCATACCTTTATACAGTTCCCTCATTAAACTTTTTTCAACTCACCCAGTTTGAAAGTGCCACCTGTTTCCTGCCAGACTGTCTGATTCCTATATAACCGCATGGGGTGTTTTGAAAAGCACATGATAAATATTCATTAAGTGTTGACTACCTTTGTCATTACCAATATTGCTGTTATTAGTATTTTATTTGAGGTTTCATGCTCATGTTCTCTATACCACATGAAAATATTCAAGAGAATGAGAAATTCAGAATTTTGGAGATCTTTTGCTAATCTCACAGTGCTTAAAAAATATGATCAAATGTAAACCATGTTTATTGCTAGTCAATCTCATATTTAAAAAGAGTAAAAGGACCTTAAAAGTGAGTAAAAAACCCATATAGTAGACAAGCCACTCCCACCAGCCAGTCAGAGCAAGTATGCAAATTAACCCCAAATAAGATGTCTACAGCCACAGAGATTTACTGGACTGTAGTTTCTTCTGTAAATACGCCTTGGAATTCACTTCCTGCAAATTCACCTCCTACCACTACACCAAATCTAGCAAAGCATAGATATCCATATTGTTGAGTCATGAGGTCATAAAAAGAATGAACTGCAAAGTAAACTCAATGACATAAAGTCCTGTTTAATCTGACAATGCATCTTTATAATTCTTACTTACCAATCATCACCATTCGACAAATCAAAATTCTAGTAAAGGTCTACTTAAGCTTTCACCTTACCTCATCCTTTATATCCTCCTGTTGTTGGGCTGAAAAGATCTCCATTGCTGCTATGAGTCTCATCATTAATTCATCCACTGTTGTGTTACCTAGCAACACATTGAAATTGTCATATTTAATTATTATAAAACGGGAAGTCATTCTAGAATCATAATAAGTATAATCTAAAAAATGTACAAACTAATATGCTCTTATCTAGTAAAAACTGGTTTTGTAGTCACAGTTATAACCTTAGTTTCACCACTATGATCCTGTACTTAGAAATTATCTAGCATATGGTAAGAGTTTAACAAATATTTACTTAATAAACAAATAAATGAATGAGTGATTGACTGTAGCTCTTTAAGGATCAATATTCTTATCTGCAAAATAAAGGTAACACTATCTCTGTAGGGTTCTTAGAAGGAGTAGAGATAATGTAAAGTGCCTAGTACATAGGTACTACACGCATAATCACTGGTAGTTATTATGAACAGACATGATAAATGGCAAAAAGTTTAGGATCAAGTTTAATGCAAATTTTGTTCCTGAGCAAATCCTTGAGTTTTCATTTCTTATTTGTAAACTGTAGTGCATATGACTCAGAGTACAAGGCATGAATATTTTATGAAGGGGACTAGAATCATCAATGGGAAAATACCATTCATAGTGGTAAAACTGACTACATACTGACCATTAATTTTCAGACTTAAGCCACTGCTTATAAACTATGCTTCAACCCTAACTGTAAGGACTCACTGCCAAACTGATCTTATGAGTATTTTATACTTAAGCCCTTAATGATCCAAGATGGGAGAAAAGATACCAGTTAATGCAGTTCAGGGCAAATTTCTTCTTTATAGCTTACTGCAGTGGTTTTCAAACTTTTTTGGCTTCAGAATCTCTTTATACTCTTGAGATCCCTAAAGAATTGTATGTGGGTTACAGTTATAAACATTTACTGTGATAGAAATTAAAACTGAAATATTTAAAACATACTTATCAAATCTTTTAGAAATGACAATAATAAAGTGATTATGTGTTAATGTCACATTTTTATGAAAAATAACTATTCAAATAGAAAAAGTTTAGTGAAAAGAATGGCATTGACTAACATTAAAAAAAAATCTCTTTAATGTGTGGCTTAACAGAGCAAATTGGATTCTCATATCTACTTCTATAGTAAACCAATTATAATATATTGTCTTAGTTGAAATTTATGAAGTAATCTGACCTCACAGAGATATGTAGACTAAAAAGTGAGTATTTTTAAAAATATGTTTTTATTGATTTTAGAGAAAGGGAAAGAGAGAGAGAAAAACATTGATCGGCTGCCTCTATGAGCCCCCTACTGGGGACCAAGCCCAAAACCTGGGCATGTGCCCTGACCAGGAATCGAATCCACAACACTCTGTCCACGGGCCAATGCTCCTGAGCAAATTGGCCAGGGCAACTGAGCAGTTCTTCAACATTATTTATGAAACTGATTGTTTTAGTTATAGAGAAAACATAAAATACTGAAGGTTTTATTTAGTGTGGTGCACCTGAAACATCTTTTTACTTTGTGGCATAGGAGATACTATTTTTATTTTTATTTTTATTTTTATATTTTATTGATTTTGTACAGAGAGAAAGGGAGAGAGATAGAGAGTTAGAAACATCGATGAGAGAGAGTCATCGATTAGCTGCCTCTTGCACACCCCTGGGGGATATGCCCACAACCAAGGAACATGCCCTTGACCGGAATCGAACCCGGGTCCCTTTAGTCCCCAAGCAGACGCTCTATCCATTGAGCCAAACCGGTTTCGGCAGGAGATACTATTTTCAATTTAAGTTTTGCCATGATAAGGTAATATTTTATGCTAATCAATAAAAAATCATTCACTTATTTTTTTTGGTAAAGAATGTAAAGATTAATTTTTTTGGAAAGTTTAAATTCATAGATATCCTAATAATTTCATGCCTCAGAGTTGCATCTTAGACACAAATTCACACTGTAAATAATTCCATTTGCAGTATCAAGTCATTGAGTTTTCTAGATAAGTAAAGATAAGCATTTCTTTCAACTAATCATACATTCAGCAAATCTCTATGTATATATACATATATGAAATGTCATATTTGACAACTGGTTATGACTTAATTGCTAGTTTAGGGAATTAAGCAATACTGAAGATTCAACATGATTATCCTATGTCTCAAGGGCTGTGTAACTTTATTAAGGCATTTCTGTTGGATTTTCATACAGAGTATTTAATTTTTCATAGTACCTATACTTTTTGAAGTTTTTCTTCTTCAAGAAGATCTTTATTTTAAAGCACAAAAATATTCACCAATATAAAAGATGGCTGTCAGCTTTAACAGTAAATATTGTAAGGTTATTATATACAGACAGTGCACTCCCCTTATAACATGTACTTTTTACCTTGTATCACATTTAATACTTCATTAGATGATCGCTTTCCCATAATAATCAGAAAAAGTGGAAACTGGTCTGTTTTTTGAGTCCGAATAGTTTGTGCAACAACACTGCCAAAGTGTCTATTGCACATGGTCAGGAATCTAAAATAAGATAAAATGCAAAGTAAGTTTCATTTCAGAGTTTAATAAATTTAGTAGTATCCCAACATAAAACTTGCTGAATCTGTTATGTTAAAATTAGACAGCTTGTTTGATATCAATATGTAAAGTCTTCCTATATTGAATTTTCCACTACATAATAAATAATACAGAAATGATTATCATTTAGAAAAGCAGGCAACACACCCTAAATGCCTTATGGGGCTGACAGCACAGGATTCTTAGTCTTAAACACTGTAAGCTATACTACCCAAACTATGAGAAAACAAAATGAATTTTAACAGAAAACAATTTCTTAAATAGGACAAATATTTCAAGTTACAAAGTTAAATTGACTACCATTATCCTAATATAAAGCGAATTTAGCAACATTTTCACAAGTTTTTAGAATTAAGAATTGTACTTCAGAACCATGTTTTCTCCAATAGTAGCAGGTCTTTTAGTTTCATACTTAGTATGGGATAAAAATAATAATTCTAAGCTTTTGACCAAAAAAAGCTCAGATATTAGCATACTGAAGTCGAGCATTAGTATTCTTAACACGATCTGGAATAAATGAAAAAACTGATAAAGCTTTTCTCTTCTATTAGAGGACTGTTTGAAATTAGCATTTCTTTCAAGAGAAAAGGGTAGCTTATGATATGTTTTCAGATCTGATGGTAAAAAGTAAATGTCATAATAATAATGAATTATGAAAGACCAAATGCAAATATAGAATGCTTTAATAAGATCCAATTTAATAAAGTCTGTAAAAATAATGGACTTTTAATAACACAGGTCACAAAAGGCAAAACAGTGGAAATTCTGGGGACTAGCCACTGGTACTAGCTTATTAATTCTTAATTATGTTCATGAAAGGAAACTTAAATCGTGTGTTTTCTTATGCCGTATGATAATATTGTAGGTAACAACTACTCTGAAATGTATGTTCTAGCTGATGAGCAAAGTCCTATTGTCACATGCATTAGAAGGTAAATCTATTTGAAAAGACAAACAGCATTAAAATGTCATGTGCTTAGATTCATTTGATATCCAAATTCAAAATAGAATCAAACCTCTTAATTTTTAAAGCTCATATATTTCTTGTGTATAGAAATTTATCACCAAAATTTGGGCTGAATCCTTCCCAAAATCTGTGCTGTGACTACATAAAGTAGACTATTTAAGGTCTATTAGAATTGTCGGCAAGAATGTCAATACAAGTTACCACTACTGCAAATAAGTTCATTTGAAGGCAGGTGCAGATACACATTTAGAGCAGCAATAACCAGACTTTAAGCCAATTCAAAATGACAAGGCCTTAAGAAACCCATTGTTACCCAACCAGTGTAGTTCAGTGGTTGAGCATCAACCTATGAACGAGGAGGTCATAGTTCGATTCTCGGTCAGGGCACATGCCCAGGGTTGCAGGCTCAATCCCCCAAAGGGGGCGTGCAGAAGGCAACCAATCAATGATTCTTTCTCCCTCTCCCTTCCTCTCTGAAATAAATAAAAACATATTTTAAAAAACAACAACAAAAAAACCATTGTTTGCCATGAAATTACTAGTATTAGTGCCCTTATGAAAATTCAGATCTTCATATTCTACAACTATTATGGGATAAAAGGCACTCAAGCAGCCTAATAAGCCTCTATCCCAAATTTCACACCCATATAGCTTAAGTTTCTCAATGATGTGTAGTTTAGGAGACTAGAAAGTTAAGATCTTATTTTTCTTTCCATAATATTTGAAGTCAATCTTGATCTGACCATTGGCAAACTCTGAAATTAAAGATGTCAAAAACAGAATGTCATTTCCTACAAAAGGGAGAAAATAAGGTCTTGTTGAAAATAAGGTATTAAACGGATATCATGCAGTAAATGCCCATCACAGAACTAGCCTCACAAATGATACCAAATACTGGCTAAAAAGGAAAGAAGGAAGGAAAGAAGGCTTAGTGGTTTTATGAATTCAATTTTAAGACAATTTTGCCTGAAAACTGTGTAATTGCCAAATTCTCTTTTTGTGAAAATGAGCTAAAATAATTATGAAAATATAGTTATTTTATTGGGTTTAAAATAATATGTAACACAAATTCCAAAGCTATACAAAACATACTTGAGAGAGGTGCAGACTTCAAAGACACAACTGTTCAATTAACCATAAAACAACAACAAAGTGGTCAGTTTTCTACCAGGTATTAGTAGATCATTCTAATTTTGGAGGTAATTGAGAAATACAGGGATCATACAGCCAATTGATATTTTTTAGTGGTCTTAACTAGCATTTTGTTCTAATAAAAAGGAGACTGTTAAAATTAATGCAATTAATCTTCCTAAGATAATACTAATCATGTGTACTTTGAAATTTTCAAATTGTAATCATTGACAGCCTGTAGGGGCAATGGACAACCACAAATTATAAAATTCTTACTTGTCAATTCCTTCCACTACAATTTACAAGTACTTCACAACACAGATATCAAATCTTTCTCATGGCTGGGAGGCTCTGCTTGTTGTAAAGATCATTCACGGCACAAAGTCAGCATTTACAGCACATTACCAGGAGCACAAACACAGACTCAGAAAATACAAGTTGTTTTAAGAGAAAATAATGTGGTTCTTCTCCTTTAGAAGAGTTAAGTATACCAGTGCATTTAGTGGCAATACCAAAGCTGTCTACCTAACTAACTGCATATGGCATTCATCAGGGTGAGATGCCATGAAGGGATAAATGTGTCTATAGTAATTGGACTCCTGCAATGTCAAACTCAAAGGGGGAGAAAAAGCAACTGTTCTGTGGCAAGGAAAAATGGCTTCTTTTTTTTTTTTTTTAGTTATAAGATATTTTAATAAATCAAAGCAACCTATTTATCACAGACCTATTTAGGGAAAAACAAGTTGATTAATCAACCCCTCAAACAAAAAGCTAAAGTGACAAATATGTAAAGAAAAGAACAAATACCCTCAACAGGGGGTAAAATGAGGGAGAGAAAAAGGAAGTAGAAGGAAAGGGGTTAAAAAAAATGAATTAAAGAAAACAGTTAATCACAAATCAGGTGCTTGGTGCCTTATGCAAACTAACCCACCATCTTTGTTGGGTTAATTTGCATACTCACTCCTGATCGGCTGGTGGGCATCATGAAAGAATGGTCAATTTGCATCTTTCTCTTTTATTAGTGTAAATCCTCACCCAAGGATATTTTTCCATTGATTTTTAGAGAGTGGAAGAGAGAGGGAAAGACAGAGAGAAATATTGAGGTAAGAGAAACACATCAACTGGTTGCTTCCTGTACAAGGCCCAACCAGGGCTCAGACCGGGAAGAAACCTGCAACAAGGTACATGCCCTTGACTGGAATTGAACACAGGACCCTTTGGTTTTCAGCTGACAATCTATCCAAACCAGCCAGGGCGAACCTGCATTTTTATTGGCTAATAATATTCCATTAAATACACACATATATACACACACACACAGCCATATTTATAACTTTTCACATAGAATAAGATTTTTTAGGTTTTTTTTTGTTTTGTTTTTTTTTCATTAGAAAGAATACTGGAGTAAACATTCTTAATTATATCCTCAGGGGAAAAAAGTCTGTGAAGTATAATAGAATTATAAGGTAAAAAGGTAGAATCACTTAATGGCTACAGATACATGTTATTAAATTCTAAAAGTATGGCATAATGTCTCTCCATGCAAATGCAAACAGTGTATAAATGTTAGAGAACACAGCAAAACTAAAGACAATTTTAAGAAAACACAGAATAAGAAATTGGGTAGATTTAATTTCAAAAGCATCTCCTAACTGTTTGAGACTTAAGACTTTCCAGTAACAGTAAACTGCTAAATTGTTTCAATATATTAGTGGATAGAGTTTGTTTGTTTTTAATAGATAACCCACAATTCAGTTTTATTTAGAGCAAAAAATACTTTTGATCATACTGGAAGAAACTCAGCCATAGTTTGGAATCTGTACCCAAAATTACACATGCAATAACAATATTCTGCTAATACAGTTGATTTGCTTCTGCATTTGTCTACTATTTGCTTAATAGTAACAATTATAAACAGCAGTACAACTAGTATTTGGAACAATCCTTACAGTGTTACAGTATCAGGCACAACTTTTTTCATCTCTTTACACCACTGCTTCTCTTTGCATACCTGGCCTTCTTTTTCAGTAAAGTCATTTTTTATATTGAAGGTCCTGCAAATCTCTTCAGGGGTTTTTCCCTTGATCAGACTGGCAATAATCTTACATGTAACATCAAGCAAACCTTTGATGTCTAAATAATTTACAGCCAGAATAAGTTTAAAAAGTGTTCCTTGGACAAATTTGAAGAATTCTTGGTCCCAAACAAGGATATCATCTGTTCTCTTTTCTTTGTTCTCATCATCCTCAGGAGGAGGTGGGTCATCCCTGTGGTGGGCACACTACTGAATGACCTTTTTAAATATTGCTATATTAACATTTGGTAGAGGAACTGTGTCATCATCACCTTCATCATTCATTCCCAAATCTTCTAATATAGTCTTGATAGTCACAGATTATTAGGCAATTTCAGCAACAACTTCAAATATCTCTCCATCAGAACTCTGCAACTTAATTGAAGGCACAGCAACAGAACAGCTCAGCATCAATCTTTATATGAACGGCGCAGGCCAGTGGACAGTTTTAAAAAACAAAGTATTGTAACTTCTGCCCTGGTCAGGTAGCTCAGTTGATCAGAGCATCCTCTTCATATGCCAGGTTGAGGGTTTCATCCCCAGTTAGGGCACATACAGGAATCAACCAATGAATGCATAAAAAAGTGGAACAAACCGATGTCTCTCTTTAAAATATCTCTGTCTAAAACCAACCAACAAACAAAAAACTAGCCTGGTGGGGTGGCTCAGTGGGTCAGTGTGTCATCCCATATACCAAAAAGTAATGGGTTGGATTCCTGGTCAGGCACATACCTGGGCGTGGGTTTGATCCCAGTCAGGGTGTGTAGAGGA